ATCCCATGATCCTGACGTTATTTCCGAACAACGATGCAGTTTTCCAGGATGATAATACTCCTATTCACACAGCCGAAACTGTTCAGTCATGATTTGAAGAGCATGAGGGTGAACTTCATCTTCCTTCGCCAACACAACTACCGGATCTGAACATCACTGAACCACTCTGGTCAGTTTTGGAGACTACAGTGAGGAACAGGTTTCGACCTCCAACATTTCTAAAGGAGTTTGAAGATGTCCTTCAAGAAGAATTGAATAAAATTCCGCTAGAGACTGTTCAAAACTTGCACAAGTCCATTCCGAGAAGGATTGCAGTTGTACTGAAGGCAAAGGGTGGTACAACACCGTATTAATAAAGAGGTGTGTGCAGTATCTGTAGTGTTTCCATTATTTTGTCCAACGCCTGTACATCTCTGGAGCTACTGCTTTGACATCTGGAGCACTCCACTGTCTGTCTTCACAAATATGGCCACGTAACAGTACACTCATGCACCATATGACATATCATTACATGGAAGCGTTGGATGCTAAGCGAACGGATAATATGAATGCGAACAATGCAGAGTCCTAACACTTTCTGAACACTCTGTATTATAAAATAATTCCAGTCACGAAACTGTTTTCAGCGAATGGATATGAATTCCATTTTACAGTTTCCTTTTATCATCTCCTCTGGATTCTAACTATGCAACTGAACGTGACAGAACTTCCGATGTCTCCACTTCACTGGACGTTTCTATCGAACAGGAATTCGCTTAACGGATATGAATATTCACAATAGTAATAAACCGTAGTTGTAACATCTATCATATTTCTCGTCAATGGGGCGTGCCCTCAAGTCCCGGGGCAGCAAATTCTGGAAAACAATAAACACTACGCTCAGTAACTTAACTACGTTTTAATTACGGGGGAGGGATGACTGTATTGTATTGTAATGGATTTGCTCCAAGCGTTTCGAGGAAACGGCTCGGTAAACACGTTCCAACGTGCAACAATGGAAGTTGTTGTCTCACTGGACGAATGTTATAGTTCGTTGCTTGGGAACAGTCAGGGCACCAATGAACTCGCTGGCCAGGAATCACATGACTTCTGCTTTCTGTGTTGCCCGTGCGGAGCCTATATAACGACCTGTTATGGGGCTCGACACCAAGACTGATTGAATGGCTGTCAGTCGCAATGTGACTGACTCTTGACTTAGATTAGTGCAGTGTAGTTACGGACGAGGGCACAACAAGAAAACTGGCAACCGCAATTTCCGAGAACCGTTATCAGCCCGAGTTGAACATGTATGTTACTGAAGGGAGCAGCGCAAATTGAGGAAACGGCAAAACAGTTGGTTTGAGATTGCCCGATTCCTTGGTGTGCCCTCGCCCTAGGAGTTCAGAAGATATCTTAGTTGAGTTCCGAGGTTCTAAGGTGAATTAACAAGAAATGGCAAGAAGACTTCATAGTGATCTGAAATGCTAGTTCCTGTGTTGAGACCAGTTACTTGGAGGCGGCTGGTGGAAACAGAATCCTAGTGCGTATGCAACGGTGGACTGGAATGTGTGCAAATCAGTGATAGCATTATATTAATTGTAATTAACCATTTAAAGACCAAATTTCTTCCAAAGTAAGTATATAAATGCAGTCCGTACCTCACAGGAAACACATTACGTCTCCGCTACAGAGCCCAACTGGTTAATGCTGTTTGGGGAAACAGTCGCTGTTTATTGTGAGAACCACACGGAACACATAAATACACTGCGTGGGCAGAATACAGAATTCTAGTATGTTAAAGCAGGTGGTGCATATAGTAACCATTAGGTTTTAAAAGGTTAAGAGAACTTGTACCCGAAATGCTAATAAATCCAATCATCCGAACCAGAACACATTACTTTCGTCACGTGTACCATCCCACACGTGACAGTAAAAATAAATGTACCGAAACTGGGATATAAGATGTAAGTAAGTAAGTAAGTAAGTAAAGGTATCCCTGTAACAGGCCGTGGAGGCCCATAGGGTTGTGAGATGTTGAGGTTCCCACATTTTCTAGACAACGGCTCATAGATGGCGGTAAGGTTGTCAGCCTTACGTGCCGGCCGCCCTTTACCCCCATGAATATTCCAAGGATATTCCTGGTACTCATTTCTGTTAGAGGCTGAGTCGACCCCAGGGCCTTAGAGGGGCTGGAAGGATTAGGTTAATTGGCTACCTTCCAGCTTGTAGCATCGTGCCTCAACCAACTACGCTACCGCATGCGGGATGTAAGATTTAGTATGAAAATAGAATGCCACTTCTATCCCAATGTCAGTCTCACCTGTACATAATATATCCCGTTATAACAAATGAGGCTTAAGCAACCGAGTCATGCTGTTATAACCAATACATCTGTCATGAAAATGTCACTGTAAAATTTAGGGTGATTTTTTTAGTTTGTTCGGTATGATAACCAACCAGTTAATAAATAACAAACTTTATTTTATTAGGTAATCATAATACATATAAATCAAAGGCGCCTGTATTTAAATGAATGTTGTCAGAAAACAAGAAGCCCAACCCATAATTCTTATAACTTACATTATACATTACAACGTTAATCGCACGTGGCTCTAATTATATACCATTACATCAACAACGCCGATAACAGCTGTCGCGTGGTCTAAGGCATTAAGGCAGCGTCTACACGAGCGCACAAAATGCGTCCGTTGTAACGAACGTACTTTGCTGAGGACGTTGCTGAGGACACCACACAGTTGCAGAATGCGGTGCGTAGTTTTTTGTCTGCAATGGAGCCAGAAGAAAGCGTAGCATTCGCCTCTCTTGTTTATTTCTACAACGGACGTCCAAGGAGAGCTCGTGTAGACGCTGCCTCAATGTCTTCGCCCGCTCAAGCGCTGGGATCGTGGGTTCGAATCCCACTCAAGGCATAAATGTTTGTATGCATTTATTCTGTGTGCAGGTAGCGGCCTTGCGACGGGCTGATCCCCCGTCCAAGGAGTCCTACCGACTGTCTAAGATTAAGAAACTGCAGTGAAACAGCGTTTCACGGATGACTTACGCTCCAAGTGGGAGCAACAGGAATAGTGATAGAAGAGAGATACCAACAACATTGATCTACCTGTTTTACTTACAGTATATCGCGAATAATTTAATTCTTTCGTACTATTATTTCGGATAGGGCGCGATATGAATGAACACTGCCGAACTGAAGAAGCATAAAGGTCTGTGTTCAAAACTGTGTCGTGCTAATCGGGAAAAATGACCTATGTTGACCAAAGACAAACGCATCCTCTATCATAATCCTGCCAGGCTGCGTACTTCTCAGGCTATGCGACAAGCCACAACGGAAAATGGTCCCACATATCCAGCTGCCCCGAGACACCATCAGCTTTCCATTTCGTAAGGAATCTCAAAACGGAGCTGAGGAATCGTTCCTTATTCGGATAATGAACTTTACGTTTATACAGAGTGTCCCAGGAGGAATGTGCCAGACTTCGAGAGAGTGTTAAAGTATGCCGATATAACCCAAAACACCTATGTCCAAAGTTGAAAGGTTTCGGAGATAATGGCCAGAGAAGTGTGAAACTTTGACACGTGTTACACACTTGTTGATTACCAAATACATATTAAAACTGGCAGGAATATGTGGTTTCTGTAATGTTAATAATGTACATAACATCAAACTAACTTGTGGGTGACATGAAGCCATTAAATTGGGCCTCAAAAATACTCGCACGCCATGTCATAGTTGTCCTTAGGGTTCCAAGGACTATACATGACACATGAATGACAAGCGCTGACGTAATATGCCTGACTGCGCATTCTGGTATAAGCCGACTACATAACTGTAATAAACATACGATCACAGAAAATCTCTTTTGGAATTTCGTTTCCATTATCTCATGTGGATTATTATGGGACCACGTATGCATATTTCGTAAATTATTTACACCGTCCAGGGTATAAGACGCCTCATCACTGAATAAAATGACAGTTCGGGATGAGCTTTTATCCAGTGGCACAAATCCATACTCTGTGCATGGTCGCCTGGTTCCAGATGTTGTACCCTTTGATCATGGTAAAGATACAACTCTTCATCATGTAAAGTTCGCCAAACCTGCATACGTGATACGCCGATGCGAGAGGCAATTCTACGAGTGGACAGACGCGGACTTCTCTGAACCATCTCAAGAACGTTCTCTCGTGTGTTTATCATTCGTACATCCTCCCTTTCAGATTGTACAGAAACACTCGGAAGAAAACCAGTATCACGCAATGTCTGGTGAATTCGCGTAAATACACTTCAACATGTAATCCTTCGATCGGGAAAACGCCTTTGGTATGCTTCAACAGCAGCACGTGCACTGCCACCGCAAAATCCACACACAAAATGCATATCACAATATTCCACGTGTGAAAACACAAGAGGCATTTCAGCAACTCATCACAATTAACCTACCACCCATTCAAAACGCGATCGCAACGTATACTGAAGGGAGCTTACGGCTAGTGTGAATCACCACACTCAAGGACAAACATAGATAAGACATGTCAGCTGACAGGTACAGTGCGTGGACTCGCCAGAAGACCACACTTTTCTCGGGCCATTATCTCCGTAACCGTTCAACTTTGGACATAGGTGTTTTGGGTTATATCGGCATACTTTAACATAAGGAACACCCTCCCGAAGTTTGGCACATTCCTCCCGGGACACCCTGTATAAAGACATTTCCAAAAGGCGGTCAAACAGAGGCTGAAGGGTTGGGAGTAACGAACAGGCGTTCATATTCTTGCCTCAAGTTTTTCTGAGTAGAAATTCGTGTTCACCTCGTGAGCTTACGTACTGTCACAGTCTTCTGGGTGAAATGGTTTGAAAACAGTCCTACCGTTAATATAATCTGCTGTCAGTCATTTCGCGTTGAAACGTTTCCAAAAGAGGCTTCCACAATATGGCGTTTACTAACAGATGAATGCGCCACCGCAAAGGCAACTTAACACATCCTCTCAGCAGTACATACCCTAATCCTCTGGAAGGAGCCTCCTTCTTCCTCCTCTGCAGCTCCGCCATGTAGGCAGACATACGCTCGTTGGAAGTGAGGAGGTTCTTGGCAGCCTCCAAGGTTTGCGTCTGGTGTCGACAAGCAGCCAGTAGTTTAGTTGTACCCTCGCGCATCTTAATCTCCAGGTCGATCTTCTGCTCCAGATCATATTCCTGCAACAATGAGTGCTTATTACATACTGACTCAATGGCCGATCTTCTGCTCCAGATCATATTCCTGCAACAATGGCGCACAGCCCTTCTTGAGATACCAAGAGAAGGCTAATGTGGGAATTAAATTCTCCATGGAACCGGAAGTTTATTACTGTGTATACCCTAATACGTGCTCCGGTACCATTATGGAGTTATATAAAGACGTTGTGGGATGTCGTATGAAGAGACAACCACTAGTTGAACTGTCCTATAGGATTTATTGCAGCTGCACAGTATACACAGACGGATAATAACAATAGTGAACTGTAGAAACTAGAACCGTAACTGTCACTCAGTGTATCTTCTTATATAATCTAGAGTCGGATATATAGAAAACATGTCACTCTCAGTATTGTTATAGGCTTTGCCTAGCAACCGCTGTTCACTAGTCGCTGCTAGGCAATGAAGCTTGCGTTGTCACGCTTGTTTGAATGTGGGCAGCTCCCACAACGTAAATGCCAATCAATTTGGTAGCGTGGTATAAGGCATGAACCGTCTTTGCTCTNACCGGTGAGTCCGAGGCAGTCGAGTTGCCCAGTGAGTCGGGTGTGAGACTGCCGGACAGCCGAGGCAGCCATTCTTGGCCCAGCGCAGAGCCGAAGATTCCGAAGACCGAGCGCTGGAGTGGAGAGGCGGAAGCTGCAGCGTGTTGACTAATGTTGCGGAGTTAGTTGCCTGAGTGCGAGCGCGGTCATAGGAGCGATGAGGCGGTAGCTACGCCAGACGCCCAGTGAGTCGGACATGACCGCCGGCTAGCTGAGGCAGCCCAGTGAGTCGGGCATGCCAGCGGAGTGGCGAGGCGGCCATTCCTGGCGCAGCGCAGGGCCGAAGACTCCCAAAGACCGAGCGCTGGCGACGAAGTTTGCTGGTGGATGTTGCTTGAGTGAAGATGGATCGTACACTGAAGATGCCAGGTCGGAGCTACTCCTTTTATACGATGCTCGATGGCGGAGCGAAAATTTGCTGAGCGCTGATTGGCTAGCGCGCGTAATGATGTAGATGCGGGCTAGCCGCAAGCGCTGTATAAATGCGAATGTTTGAAGCAATGAGATTGGTTAGCGCACGTGATGGTGAAAAGGGAGCTGAATAGCGAGCGTTGCAGAAATGCGTGATAATGTGGGATATTCCCACATCACTCCCCCCCCCCTTGCGAGAAGTGATGCTGCTGCTGCTTGCGAGTTGTCTGCGGTGTCCATGCTGCGCCGGGATGCACCAATGTGGGAGTCGTTGATGATCTTCACAACACGCGCTTCCAATCACGTCGGGGTCACCATTGTGGGATGTCGTATGAAGAGACAACCACTAGTTGAACTGTCCTATAGGATTTATTGCAGCTGCACAGTATACACAGACGGATAATAACAATAGTGAACTGTAGAAACTAGAACCGTAACTGTCACTCAGTGTATCTCCTTATATAACCTAGAGTCGGACATATAGAAAACATGTCACTCTCAGTATTGTTGTAGGCTTTGCCTAGCAACCGCTGTTTACTCGTCGTTGCTAGGCAATGAAGCTTGCGTTGTCACGCTTGTTTGAATGTGGGCAGCTCCCACAACGTAAATGCCAATCAATTTGGTAGCGTGGTATAAGGCATGAACCGTCTTTGCTCTCTCGAACGCTAGGATCGTGGGTTAGAATCCCATTCAAGGCATGGACGTCTCTGTTCGTTTATTGTGTGTAAGTAGCGGCCATGCGATGGACTGATCCCACGTCTAAGGAGCCATACCAACTGTGTATAAAGGTAAAGTTGTCTCTGTGCTTAACTAATTAAGCACTATGACAAGAAGGCGTATAGGGCAGTGGATGTATAGATCCACGTTTTCTTGAACTCGGCATTAGTTGGAGGTGAGCAGTCAGCTTCACGCCCCGGCCGCTTCAACCCCGGGGAAAGAGCCCCCCCCCGTACCCATTGAATAGGATGTTGGGTGGACCCCAGAGCCTGCCTGGACGACAAACTAAAGTAAAGTAAAGCTATCCCTGTACGGCTCAAAGATGGCGGCAAGGTTGTCAACCTTACGCGTCGGCCGCGCTTTACTCCCAAGGAAAATTATTTAATTAATTCCTGGTACTCATTTCTGTTAGAGGCTGAGTCGACCCCAGGGCCATAGTGCGGCTGGAAGGATCAGGTCAATTGAAAAAAAATCCGATGACCTCATCGGGACTTGAACCCGCGACCTTCCGGCTTGTAACATAGTGTCTCAATCAACTACGCTATCGCGTGCCCCCTGCCTGGACGACATAGATAAGAGAAAATTCTTGACCCTACCGGGACTCGAACTTCGATCCCTCAGTCGTCCAGCCCGTAGCTAGTCGCTTTACCGACTGCGCTATCCCGGCTCCTAGTTCGCGATATATCAACAGTTGCAAATGTCGGATGTTTCACGGTATAAAGGGGGCTGATGATTGGACTTCCTTTCCCGAAGATTGACACTACTGTCAGAATACTCTAAGGTTCAAAATTCCATCGCACTTTTCAGCTTGTTCCAGATTTTCCGTCGAAACTTCAATGGCAATCACACTACTACGATTACAAACATAAACCCGACAATGTTGCCTCTGTTATGACTTATCATTTCTTTTTTGCAGTAGTACATAAAGCACTATAAAAACTTGGAATGAGTCAACAGAAACAGCGTCGATGCGAAGAGCAGTGCGGAAGCAACAACGTGCTACCCGTGGCGTGGATGCAGGACACAGAGAAGCCTTGTTGTGGCGGCACGGTGTACACAGAGGCCCGAACAAAAACTGTGACCAGTCTGTGGTGATGCAGACATCAAAATAACATCCACGACGGAAGAACTGAATGCATTCAGTAGGCCACTCTTAATATATAACAGGCAGCGGCGAAGCTGCCCAGTTCTTTATTAATGCTATGTATGGGGGGAGATGTGGGATGGCTCCACGCACTCTTAATCTCGACGCTGGAGAGTGTGATCGGCTTCACTTTCCGGTTGCTTTATACTCGGGGAAATTGACATCTTACGCACTAAAATGGGGTTCGGTGGGCCACTGATCAGGTCTGGATAAAACGCAAAAAAACCCATGACCTGCCGAGAATCGATAGGGTTCCCACTACATAGGAAACTACATCTCAGGTCGAAACATTCTACTCAGCGTACTAACATGAAACTTACATATTTGTATGGGCATCAGTTTTATGTAAGGAGTGAATAAAGGCTTATTCAAATGTCAAAATGTCAGTCAAATGCTCGGCCGATAACGTGAAGTTTCAGGAACGTTTCTCCATGCGCTTCATCAATATCCGGTAGAAAGTTTAGGTGTGGGAAGACACGACATACACACAAACATCCACACATACGACGATACTTCATATTTTTGTGTAAAAAAAAAATGTGCTCAAACTTAAGGCCTCGACATGCGTTGTACAGAATACAGCTGAACTGCGTCTCTCTCAAGGATCGGCCTAACAACTGAACACTTAAGTTCGACTAAAGACTCAGCAACGATGTCCCACAATTATGAACACTTTTAATGCCCATAAAGTTCATGGAAATATACGACAATAAACAGACGAAAACGTGAAAGGTACAAGGTGATTCACTCAGAGCTGGCCACAAATTGATAACTATAAATCACGAAATATTGCCAGAAGCATAACAACTCGTACTCTTACCCAAATATAATTAGAATGATCAAGGCAAGAAGGATAAAATTGGCAAGGCATGTAGCACGCGCGGGAAGAATACATACAGAATTTTGGTGGGCAAGCTAGAAAGAAAGAGCCCAACAGCACGACCCAGAAGTAAATAATAGAATATTAAAATGGATCTCAGACAAACAGAATGGCGTGGCATGGACTGGATTCATCTGGCTCAGGACAGGAGCCAGTGACGGATTCTTGTGAACACGGTAATGAACCATCAGGTTCCATAAAATGTTGAGAAATTCTTGAGTAGGTAAGCAACTGATGGTGTCTCAGGGAGGGCTCAGCAATCAAGCATTAATTTACCCATGAAACAGAAGGAGAGTAGGTATCTTGGTAGGCCGCGCCATAGCTCAAGCGGTTAGTCCCTGGCTTCCCACCGCGGCGGCCCGGCTTCGAGCCCGGGTCTGGTCAAGTGGGATTTGTGGTGGAGAAAGTGGCGCTGGGGCAGGTTTTCTCCGAGTACTTCGGTTTCTCCTGCCAATCTTCATTCCACCAATTGCTCCACAGTCACCCTATCATCTGGGGCTGGTACAAGAGGCCAGAAGTGACCGCAGTAAAGGGACTTAGTCCCACCCCACTAGCAAAAAAAAATGCATCTTGGTAGACGTGCAGGTAACTGGGTTACAGAAAATGCTGAAACTGGTTTCTACCCGTCTGGAGACACAGGCTAACAATGCGCTCAGGTTCGCGAATGCTGAAGCCAGCAAGGGTTGGCAAAGCGCGGAATCACAAACTGAAGGAAAAGTCGCGAACCGGATCAGTGTTTCCTGGTACACAGCATCGTTTCGTTTTCATCTCTAATTTATTGCGTGATTTACAGTTATTAATTCGAGCCTTCCTGCGAGTGAATCACCCTATATAATAAATTACATTAATGAATTCGTTCTATGGGGAAAGAGAAACATGTTTCACGAACATTCTGAGTGCTGGGTAGTTATATAGCCAAAATGAGCGCTTCAAAATTACCAGTAAAATATCCGAAGGGGGCCAAAGTCATGCATATTTCATGCAATGTCCGCAGGGGACGGAGTTCTCGTGAGTCAATCGCTACTGCGAAGGGCAGATGGCGGATATACACACAGGAGTGAACAAAGTACGAACTAACGCTACACGCAAGCGTTTCTTAGCCTGAACAGTTTACATATAGGAGGGAGGGGAGGAAATCCCTTAAAATCCATAAAAGAAATCTATACATTTTATTCCTCACATAAATGATCGACTCGGTTGTTGATAAATAACTTACCAATGAGTATTTGTTGTTTTCATGACGTAGTGCTTAATTAATTAGGCA